GACCAGGACTGGGACCAGGATCAGGACTGGGACAAGGACTGAGACCAGGACTAGGGACCAGGGCTAATACCAAGATCAGGACCAGGATTAGGGCTGGGACAAGGACCAGGATCAGGACCAAGAGCAGAACTGGGACCAGGACCAGAATCAAGACTGGAGCCAGGACTAGGACCAGAACAAGGATTGGGACCAGGATCAGGATCAGGACTGGAGAAGCCACCAACAGGTCACATGCCACCTTTCCCAGTGGGAAAACTCTGGGAATGGCTCTGGAATGGGATAAATCCCCCAAGATCAGCCACCAGTGGGCCACATCCCACATTTCCCAGTGGGAAAATTGGGACACAGCTCTGGATTTGGGATAAATCCCAAGATTGGCCACCTTTTCCAGCTGGGAAAGCCTCTGGGAATGGCTCTGGAATAGGATGAACCCCAAAATCACACACCAAGGGGTCACATCCCACCTTTCCCAGTGGAAAAAGTCAAGGAATGGCTTTGGAACAGGACGAATACACGAGGACACAAGCTCAGCCGTAACCAAGGGGAGAGTTTATTTGGGATGATGGGAATTGGGGGTCGGGAACATTCCAGTTCTTCGTCCCCCTCCCAGATTCCCAGCTTCTCCGTCCTCTGCTCAACCTGCGTGAGGGGGCACAAAGAGGGGGGGTCAGGGACATTCCCGAGGCCCCTCCCTCCCCTCGGGGGATCCCCCACAATGTACCTTGGGGATCCGTCCGGGAAAGCAGGAGCAGGGAGAGCCCCAGGAGCCCCAGGACCCCCCCGAGCGCCATCGCGGCCCCACAAAGCACCATCGGCAGCTCCGGCACCTCCAGAGGCTCCGGGGGCACTGCAGGAACGGGACATGGCTCAGGAGAGGCAGTGGCTTTGGGACTGGGAGCAGGAGCAGGATGGGGACAAGGACCAGGAGCAGGACCAGAATTGGGATCAGGATCAGGACCAGGACTAGGATCAGGATCAAAACTGGGACAAGGACCACAACCAGAACTGGGACTGGGAGCAGGAACAGGACCTGGATCAGATCCAGGATCAGGACAAGGACCAGAAAAAGGACCAGGATTAGGCACCGGGACCAGGATCAGAACTGGGACCAAGACTGAGAACAGGACCAGAACTGGGACTGGGACCAGGATCAGGACCAGAAGAACCAGGACTGGGACCAGAACCAGGACCCCCCCCAGGTGTGTCCCCCACGCCGTGGTGTCCCCCCTCCCAGTGCTGCCCTCTCACCCCAGTAGGTGACCACCGAGGCGTTGTCCCCCCGGGGGGTCACCAGGCAGGCAAAGATGTCCCCGCGCTCCGGGGTCACTTCCAGGCGGGACAAGCTCCAGAAGGTGAGCTCCGGGGTGGGGGTGAAGGGCCCCTGGGTGACCCCCCGGGTGACGGGGACACCCCCCCGGGTCCAGGTGATGTCCAGGGCTGGCGGGAAGACGTTCTCCACCAGGCACAGCAGGGTGTTGGCCTCACCCAGCGTCAGCGGCAGTGCCGGGAACACTTGGGCCACCGGCATTCCTGTGGGGATTGCATCCCATAAAAATGGTGGGATGGGACCTCCAAAGGGTCCCATCCCAAAGGGACATCCCGCCCTGATTCCTGACCTTGGGGGGCTCCAGGGGTGGGGGAACCTCCAATCCCAGCCTCAGGGTTGAGCTTTTCGCTGAAGCCAGGGTTTTTTTTCTGAATCCAGGTCTTTTCCATCCCTAAGTTTTCCCATTCTCTCCATCCTTCCATCCCCAAGTTCCTCCATCCCTCCCACCCCCAAAGTTCTTCCATTCCCAAGTTCTTCCCTCGTCTCCATCCCTTCTTCCCCCAAGTTCTTCCATCCTTTCATCCCCATCTTCTTGGGGGACACCTGGGATTCCACGGATCCACTGACCTGGGGGTGTCGCCCCCGTCACCCCCCCCAAATTCCTCCTCAATCCGCCATCCCCCCCAGCAGGACGGTGCTCCATTGACCCCCCGGTGTCCCCTCTGTCACCGACCCCTGGCCTGGGGCAGGACCCCGGCGGCCGAGCGGCCGAGCCCGTCCAGGACACCCCGGCACAGCTCCACGTCCAGGCGCAGCTCCGGGGGGGTCTCCAGGTCTGGGGGCAGGGGGGGCAGGTCCGGGAGTGCCGGGAACCACTGGGATCCCGGGAAGTCGAAGCTGTAGAGTCGCTGCCCGTCCAAGGTGAGGGAAAGGTCCAGGGAAGGGGTGTCCGGTTGGCAGGTGAGAACCTCGGCCAGGAGGTGGGTGGGGGGCTCTGGGGGGGGGGGCACAGGGGGGAGTTGGGGAGATTTGGGGGGGATTTAGGGGGATTTGAGGGGGTTCAGGGGGGATTTGGTGGGATTTGGAGGGGATGTTGGGGGGAATTGTGGGAGTTTGGGGGGGATTTGAGGGAGTCCTGGGGGGGATTTGGATGGGAATTGGGGTAGGTTGGGGGATCCTGGGGGGATTTGGGGGGAACTAGGGGACTCTGGGGGGAATTGGGGAGGATTTGGGGGGGGAACTGGGGGACTTTGGGGGGGATTGGGGAAGTTTACGGGGGATTGGGAAGGATTTAGGGGGGATTTGAGGGGTGCTGGGGGGATTTGGATGGGAATTGGGGTAGTTTGGGGGGGATTTGAGGGGGTTCAGGGCAGTAAAAAAAGGAGTAGAAAAAAGGGGAAGAAAGGGGGAGAAAAAAAGGAAGAAAAGGGGGAGGGAAAAGGGGAACAGGAAAAAGGGGAACAAGGAAGAGGGAACAGAAAAAGGGGAGGGAAGGAGGAACAGGGAAGGAGGAACAGGGAAGGGGGTGCAGGTGGGGGGTACAGGCAGGGATTTAGGGGGGATAACCGAGGGTACAGGCAGAGGTACAGGCAGGGATTTAGGGGAGATAACACGGGGTACAGGAAGAGGTACAGGCAGGGATTTAGGCAGGATAACCCAGAAGTACAGGCAGAGGTACAGGCAGGGGTACACAGCTGGTTGCGGGCAGGGGATCACCCCCTCACCCCCCCTACCCCCAAAGCCTCCCCTCCTCCCTCCCTCTCTCCCTCCCTCCCTCCCCCTCTCCCCTTCCCCTTCCTACCGGGGGTGACGGCGGCGGCGACCCCCAAAAGCCCCCCGAGCAGCGGGGCCAGGAGCCCCCAAAAACTGCCGCCCATTCCCGCGCCGTGAGGCCACAGTTGGGGTGGGGAGGCCCCGCCGCGTAACTCCCCCAAACCCTCCCAAAAACTCTTCCCCAAAGCCCCCAAAAACCTCCTCCCAAACTCCCGCCCCGCCCCCCGGACGCACTGACCAATGGGAGCGCTCTGTTGCCGCCGCGTCACTTGTTGCCGGGTGGAGAAGCCTCAAGGCGAGCGCGATTGAGGTGACAGAGCCACGGAGTCGCCGAGGGGGTCACGGGAGGATCCCCGCGACGTCCCCCCCGCGTGTCAGGAGGGAGGACAAAGCTTTGGGGACCCCCCTTCAAGTTGGGGGACCCCCAAGCTTTGTCCTCCCTCCTGACACGCGGAGGGGACGTCACAGTGGTTAATTCAGCGGTGTCGTGATAATTAGGGCGCACCGACGGGTGCGCGGGGGTTCGGGAGGGACCCCTGGAATACCGTGGACACCCGTGGGGTCATCTCACGTCCCCCCCAACCCCCCCGTGAGTGCCCTCCACACCTCGCACCTCACCTGAACCCCCCATGGGTGCCAGTGGGGACTCCTGGGATGTCGTGGACACCCGTGGGGTCACCCCAGAATACTCGGGAGCCCAAATTACCCCGTGGGTGCCCCGAGGGTCCCCCGCGGGTGCCCCCACACCCTTCCCACCCCACCTGACACTCCCCCAGATCCCAGCGCTGCCCCCTTGGAATATCGTGGATCCCCCCCACCCCTCGTGGGTGCCCCTCACCTGACACCCCCCCCCCCCCCAGATCCCAGCGCTGCCCCCCTGGAATGTCGCGGACTCTCGTGGGGTCACCCCTGGAATGTCGTGGAAACCCCCCCCCCCCGAATATCGTGGAACCCCCCCCCCGAATGTCGTGGAACCCCCACCGCCCCGAGACCCCCGTGGGTCCCCCCGCACCACTGCAGCGGGACCGCACTGCGCATGCGCGGGGCACTAAGACCCCGCGGAGCCCCTCGGGGGGGGCCCCATGAATGTGGGCCCGTGGGAGCCGCGGGGGGGGCACGTGACCGCAGGCAGCCAATCGCAGCGCGGGTGACGTAGCGCGTGGCTCCCTTTTCTGCCCCGGGATGGTTTTTTTTCACCTTTTTTGCCTCCAAAATGGGGCTTTTCGGGGCGGGAGGGGCGCGGATGAAGCGGGGCCGGGCGCGGGGGTCGCGGCCAGGCGCGGGGGCCCCTCAGGTGAGTGATTTTTGGGGAAGTTTTTTTTGGGGGGGGCGGCCTCGCCCTGCCCCCTCCCCGACGGTGAGGGGCGGGGGAGGTCACGTGGGGGTGGCGAGCTGTCAATCAAGCGATGTCCCGCCCCTCGGGCTTCACTTCAACTAATGGGAGGTGCGGGTCGCCTTGATTGACAGCTGGGGGCCCGGCTTTGTGCGCGCGGCGGGGGCGGCGGTTTGGGGCGAAAAGCGCCATGTTTGGGTGTTCGCGCGGGGGCGGCGGCGGCGGGCGCGGCCCCAAGTGCTGTGTCACGGCGTTGGCGGGGGGGTGGGGAAGGGAGGGATCGCACGGGATTCGGAGACCTCCACGAGCCCTGTGGAGTTCGGAGGGGGGGGGGAGGCTGGGAAGAATTGAAGAATGCGACCCCTTTACATTCCGTGAAGGGGTTTGGGGGGTTCCCGTGCAGGGGAGCGGGCGCTGAAGCCCCTCCCGCGGGAGCGGGGCCCTCAGGGTTGCGGGGTGAGAGGTGTGGGGGGATTGGAGGGGAGAGGTTTATCGCGGCTTAATCCGGGCTAGCGGCCACGGCAGCGGCGCGTCCGTGGGGGTTGTGGTGTCCCGCGTGTGACCAGGGAGGCGTTGGCGACCCCTGGGAACCCGTGGAGAGCGGGGGAGGCAGGTGGCGGTGCGCGGGTCAAGTGAGTGTTAAAGAGTTCGCGAGCGCCGCGAGGGGGGTGAGGGCGGAACTGGGGTCCCCATGGTGCTCGGTGGAGCGGAGGAGAAGGGGGGACGCGGAGAGGCCGCCCGGGAGGGCCGCGCTCATTGTCCGCCCGCCCGCTCGCGGCCGCCGCCGCCGCCATTCAAGATGGCGGCACCTCTTTCCCCCCTCCCCTCAGCGCCAACCGCCGCCCTTCTCCCCGCCCACCTCGCTGCCCCTCGGCCAACCACCGAGCGGCGGGCGGTGGCGCCGACCAATGGGCGCCGAGGGCGCCGCCCGCTCTCAGTGAAGGCGCCGGGCGGAAAAGCCGCGCGGGGAGGGGGGGTCGTACGGGTGGAGGTAGGGGTGATTGACGCGCCAGTCGGCCAATGAGAATGCGATGTTGGAAGTGCCACCGCCCAATGAGGCTACGGTTGGGTGGGGAGGGGCGGGTTCGTGACGTCAGCGGTGTCGGCGGCCAATGGGGAGGTCGGTCGCGTCTATATAAGGGCGGGCGGGGGCAGGCCAAGCGGCGCCATTTCGCGGTGGACGAGGGGACGGAGCTGGTCGGGCCGCGGCAGAGAGAGCGAGCGAGAGAGAGCGCGCAGAGGGGCGGCCCCTTCAAAAAAAAAAAAAAGCAACCAACCTCTCTCGGCTCCATCCCCCCGGAGGAGCTCCGAGGGGGGGAAACCCTCCCCGGCCTCCGCAGCGACCCCTGCCTGCGGCCACCGGCGGCGAGCGGCCGCCTCCTCGTCCTCCTCTTCCTTCCCCCCCCTTCACCTCCCTCAGCGAGCCAAGATGGAGCGCGGCCGCTGATCCCGTCGATCCGCCGTCATCCACCGGCCTCCCCGCGGCTCAGCGCCTTGTCTGCGGTCCTTGCGGGTGCTCCGGGCTCCGAGCGACTCGCCGAGGGTTGTATCGAGCGCGTCGCGAAGGGTTTGTGCCTCCCGGTGAAGCTCCGAAGAGAGGACCCCCCCGCTCCCCTCCACTACCCCCCCGTTGCATCCCCTCAGCGCTCGCCGCCATTTTCGCCGCGCCCGTGGATGTTGAGGCCGTGGGAGGGTCCCGGCATCGTCTCCTAAGGGAAAATTAATTAGATAGAGGAAAGGGGGGGCTCCTGGCTCGCCTCCCGATCCCCTCCCCGTCCTCATCCCGCCGGGGATGCGCTGACGGGGGGGGGCCCCCACTGGGCCGCGAGCGGCGGAGCTTTGGCCGGGCAAAGTGGGGGGGTCGTCGGAGGAGACGGCGGGAGGAGGAGGAGGAGGAAGAGGAGACGAGGGCCCGCGGGCCGCGCACGGAGCCGTCGGGATGTTGCAGAATGTGAATCCCCAGAGCAAGTAGGTGCTTTGTGGGGGGGGACTAAAGGGGTTTTGGGGTGGGAAGGGCGTGTTTTGGGTTTACGTAGAGGAGGAGGAGGGTGCGTTGTGGGGTTGGGGCTTGGTGGAACCCCCGTGTTGTGTCACTGTGGGATCCCCACAAGGTGGGACCCCCCACCTTGTGACACTGGAATACCCATGCAGTGGGATCCCCGTATTGTGACAGTGTCACTGTGGGACCCTCACCTTGTGGCACTGTGAGACCCCCCCAAGTTGGGACCCCCACACTGTGACAGTGTCATTGTGGGACCTCCATGTCATGACAGTGGCACTGTGGGACCTCCACAGGGTGGGAAGGTGTCATTGTGGGACCCCCAGGTTGTGTCACTCCAACACAGTGGGACTCCCATGTTGTGACGCTGAGGGACCCCAAAGATGTGGCAGTGTCATGGTGGGACCCCCCACATGAGACCCCCATGCTGTGGCAGTGTCATGGTGGGACCCCCACATTGTGTCACTGAGAACCCCAAGCTGTGACAGTGTTCCTATGGAATCCCCATGTTGAGACCCCCATGTTGTGATACTGTGGGACCCCCAAGCCATAGCAGTGTCATTGTGGGACTCTCACGTTGTGGCACTGTAGGACCCCCGTGCAGTGGGACCCCAGTGTCGTGACAGCGTCACTATGGGACCCCCAGGTTGTGTCATCCCAATACAGTGGGACCCTCACCTTGTGACACTTTGGGACCCCCACGGGATGTGACCCCGACATTGTGACCCTGAGGGAGCCTCGTGCTGTGACAGTGACACTGTGGGACCCCCCCAAGCTGTGACAGTGGCCCTGGGGGTCACTCTGTCCTTATCATGGGGGGGTCGTACCCTTGGGGACACTCCTGGGGTCACCCAGAGGTCAGCTCAGGGAAAAAAGGAGGTCCCAGCCCCCCTAAAGCTGAGCTGGGGGAGAGGCTCAAGAGCTCGACCAGGAGCTGGTTGTGGGAACAGCTGGAATTTTGGGGGGTCTTGGGGGTCCCTGGAGCCTTTGGATTGGTGCCTGGGGGTTCCTGTTCTGGGACCCCCCCAAGACCTTGGTGTTGGTGTCCTGGGTGTCCCTGGAGCCTTGGAATCACTGTCCTGGGGGTCCCTGTTGTGGGACCCCCCCCCAAAGCTTGGTGGTGTTGTTCTGGGAGTCCCTGGAGCTTTGATGGGGGTGTTCTGGGGGTCCCTGGAGCCTTGGAATCTGTGTCCTGGGGGATCCTGTTCCAGGGATCCCCCCAAACCTTGGTGGTGGTGTCCCGGGGGTCCCCATGACCACTGTGGCATTTCTGGGTTTGTTTTCCGTAATTTTCCTTTTTTCTGGATATTTCAGGACTCTCAGACCCGTTGTTGCTCTAAAATGCTGATGATTGCTCTAAACCACTGATTTTTCCCAGAAATCAGTGCAATTCCTGGACATTCCTGGGAGCTTGTGGACAGAATCCTGGGGGTTTGTGGCTGAAATCCACAGGAGTTCATGGGTGGAATGCATGGGATTTCATGGCAAAATCTGCGAGGGTTTGGAGTTGAACTTCCTGGGAGTTCAGGGCCAGAATTCCTGGGGGTTCGTGGCTGAAATCCATGGGAGCTCCTGTGCAGAATCCACGGGGGTTCGTGTCTGAAATTCCCAGGAGTTCACGGCCAGAATTCCTGGGGGTTCGTGGCTGAAATCCATGGGAGATCCTGTCCGAAATTCCCGAGAGTTCATGGCCAAAATTCACAGAAGTTTGCAGCTAAAATTCCCGGGTATTCCTGGCCAAAATCCGTGGGGTTTGTGGCTGAAATTCTTAGGAGTTCATGGCCAGAATTCCTGGGAGTTCATGGCTGAAATCTGTGGGAGCTTGTCGGCAGAATCCATGGGGGTTTACGACCAGAATTCCCATGGGAAGCTCCTCTTCATCCCAAAGATCTGGACAGTGGTAACGGTGCTGCTTTGGCCCTGATAGCAGCTCAAGGAGCAGTGTCAGCTTCTTCCCGAACTCTCTCCTGAGAATTCTGGGAAGCAGATCCATCCCCCTTTTCCCTTAACCCCTGTGTGTCTCCTCCCCTCCCCACAGGATCCTGGGGAAGGGCAATAAATCCATAGGAGCTCCTGGGAAGAATTACTGGGGGTTCACGACAAAATCCATGGGAGTTCAGGGCCGAAATTCCCATGAGTTCGTGGCTGGAATTCCTGGCGGTTTGTGGCCAAGTCCATGGGGGTTCAGGGCTGAAATGCCCAGGACTTCATGGACAGAATTCCTGGGGGGGGATTATGGGGTCTCCCAGGCAGAATCCATGGGGGTTCAGGGCTGAAATTCCTGGGAGTTAATGGCTGAAATCCATGGGAGCTCCTGGGCAGAATCCATGGGGGTTCGTGGCCAGAATTCCCTTGGGAAGCTCCCCCTCATCCCCAAAGATCTGAACGGTGGTAACGGGAACGCGGTGGTGCTCCATAGCGGTTCTTCCGGGACTCTCCCGAATCCCCTCCCTGAATCCCACGTGTTCTCCCCTCCCTCGCAGGCTCCTGGGGGAGGGCAATGCCGGGCTCATGGCGCTGGCGACGCCGACGGAGTCGACTCCCGGGAAGCGGATCCGCAAACCTTCGCTGCTCTACGAGGGCTTCGAGAGCCCCACCATGGCCTCGGCTCCCGCCCTTCCCAACCCTCAGGCCAATCCGCCGCCTCCCGAGGTTTCCAATCCCAAAAAACCCGGTCGGATCACCAACCAGCTCCAGTACCTGCACAAGGTGGTGATGAAGGCGCTGTGGAAGCACCAGTTCGCGTGGCCCTTCCGCCAGCCCGTGGACGCCGTCAAGCTGGGCCTGCCGGTAATTCCTGAGGGTGGGAATGCCGGGAATTCCGTGTGGGTGTGCGACCCCTCCCCTCCCCCCAGTCCTTACTCCCACTCAGGCAGAGGTAGATCCAGCTTTTATTTTAATCCCGCTCGGCCACAGGTGTCACCCCGTTATCCCATCCTACATCCACCCCCAGGGCTCCCGCTATCCCGGAGGAGGGATCCCGATGTCCCTACAAAGTTATGGATGAGGGATATTCCCGGCGCTTCCCGACCTAATCTCTTGTGCCCTGAATGCATTTTGCAGATGTCTCCCATCCATGAGTTTGTAGAAGACATCCCGAGGCCCCCAAATTTAAGGCACCTGTGGCGCCCAAGGAGTTAAAGCCCGAGGAGGTAAATTCAAACCGGAGGGGTTGCTCTTCCCATTCGGTTTAAGCTCGACTTAAGCCCAGTTTAAATTGCCCCCTGAAATTTGATTTTAATTGCCCTTCGACTCACCTTCAATTTAGGTTCAGGTCAAGATAGGTTTAGTTTAAACTCACTTTAAATTTGCTGTAGTTTACCTTCAAATTTAGGTTAGGTTCCTGGTAAGTTTATCTTTAACTCACCTTAAGTTTAGCTTAAATGCAGCTGAAGCTTGGCTTTAATTCATCTTAAGTTTAGCTTACGTCCACCTTAGATTTGGTTTCAATCCTTGTTATAAATCCACCTTAAGTTTAGCTTGAATTCTGTTTTTGTTTCCCTTAAAGCTTGCATTAATTTGGCTTAAAACCACCTTAAACTTTGGTGCAATTTATCTTAAGTTAAGTTTAAATTCACTTTATGTTTAATTTCAGTCCACCTTCAATATGGTTTTAATTCCCCTGAAATTTAGCTTAACTTCATCTGAAGTTTAACCTTAACTCACCTTAAGTTTACCTTCAATTCATCTTAAATTCAATATAAATCTACTTTAAATGTAGCTTAGATTCATTTGAACTTAGTTTAAATCCACCATAAGTTCATCTTCGATTTGCCTTAAGTTTTGCTTAATTCCACCTTAAGTTCAACTTAAGTTTTCCTTAAATTTAGCTTAAATCTGGGTTCAATTTAGCTTCAAGTCACCTTGAATTTAGCTTCAATTCACTTCAAGTTTATCTTAAATTTCTCCTAAATTTAGTTTACATCCACCTCAAGTTTAGCTTAAACCTATCTCAAGTTAAGCTTAAATCCACCTCAAGTTTAGGTTGGATTCAGCTCAACTTTAGCTTTAATCCACCTGAAATTTAGCTTAAACTTCCCTTGAATTTAGCTTAAATTCCCCTTAAATTCAGCTCAAATCCCCCTTAAATCCCCACTCCCACTCCTGTGTCGCCTCCCAGCTGCTCCCACCCCTCTGACCACCCCGAACCCCCCCTTTGGAGCCGCTTCCCACTACATTCCCAGTCATTCCCACCACATCCACAGGGAATTCCTCCCCTTCCCCCCCTTCCACCCCAGCTGAACACGAGCGACCCCGCTGTGACCCCCCGATCCCCGTTGTCACTGTTTTCCCAGGATTACCACAAGATCATCAAGCAGCCCATGGATATGGGAACCATCAAGAGGCGCCTGGAGAACAACTATTACTGGGGGGCAGCCGAGTGCATGCAGGACTTCAACACCATGTTCACCAACTGCTACATCTACAACAAGGTGGGACCGCCCCCAAAACACCCCTGGCACCTCCCAAAAGTCGTGCCTGGCGTTCCCTGACTCCAGATCCAACGATTCCCGCAGCCCACGGATGACATCGTGCTGATGGCGCAGACCCTGGAGAAGATCTTCCTGCAGAAGGTGGCACAGATGCCTCCGGAGGAGCAGGAGATCGTGGTGCCCGTGGCCAAGAACAGCCATAAAAAGGGGGCATCCAGGGCGGCAGGTGAGGAAAAGGGGGGCCCAAAAAGTTGGGAATGGGTGAGGGTGACAGTGGGGGGGGGGGTCCCCAGACCTGGCATCAGTATTCCAGCGTGTCCTTTGGGATAACACTGGTATTCCTGGGGGTCCCCAATCCCCGTCTCCAGGTGTTCCCTGTGTCCTTGGGAACAGTGGGATGACAGTGGAGGGCCCAGGGGGTCTCCAACCCTTGCTTCTATGTATTCCCTGTATCCTTTGGGAGGCCCCCAGGAGGCCCCAGCCCCTTTTCCCCTGGGTATCCCTTGGGATAACAGCAACATTCCCAGTTTTTTTTCTCTCCCTGTTCGCAGCGCTCCTGGCGGGACTGACGGCAGCTCAGCAGGTCCCGGCCGTGTCCTCGGTGTCCCAGCCCTTTTTT